CACTGCTGACAGTTTTTTTTCTCTTGTCTGTGAGCGGGAGGTCGTCTTTGCTGGTGCTTTGTTGTAATTTGCTCTGTACAATAAAGTGATCTATTGTCCCACTCACAGCTTTCTCCTTTCAAATGTTATCATCCCTCAAACAGGCTGCCAATAGGACCTTTTGATGTGTCACACACTTATAATGGTGAACAGTGACAAATAGGTCCCCCATGAAGGTTTTTTTAAATTAAATTAAATTAAATTACATCACATTTTTTAGCTAGAGTTTGCCTCTTTATTAGGAATGGGTGCACACAACATACTGATAAAGTCAATAAAAGTTAATTCATAACTTTTTGTAAAGGCCCAGTTGAGTATTGGAATAATAATGTGTGGTAATCACAAAATCCCATGGCACACCTGGTTTGGCATCACGGCACACAATTTGAGAACCACCAGTACTGACCATCCTTATTGGTTTGACTGCTTTACTTTATTTGAAAAAAGTTTTATCAACATGCTGTTTTTTCTTTGCTCTGTGCTGGCCTGAAAACTAAAAAACACTGAAATAGAAATTAACTTGTACTTTGAGTTATTTACAAACAGAGAACTTTTTTTTTATTTTAACTTGAGTTATTTTTAATGGCAGTAATTGTGATTGGGTATAGATTTTCAGTACTTCACCTGCCACAGTGCTAAATGCTTATTTGTCTAGTAGCTGTATTGCATCTGGTCCATAAAGGCTACTCTCTGTGGGGAAATTGCCTTCTATGCTTTTCTACAGTAGATTTCTCCCTGTATGGATTAACACTGTTGTAAAAAAGTGTTTCTGAAATGAATTCCAACGGAGCTGAATCTTAGGAAATGAAACCAAAACCATCCATTATCATTTAACTGCTGTTTTTTAATGTCATTGGGTCAATTGTTCCCTTAAAAGGAGACTATGTAACTGCTGAGCAACAGCCATTGTGACCAAAATTGAGAATAACTGGATATAGCTAACTGCCAAAACATATAGGGAAGAGTCATAAAGAGTTTGTTAACATTAGTTACATAATGTAACTCACCATAAGCTAGTGGTCATACTAGACCTAGTAAGGCTGTAGTAGGAAAACTCCTGGGTGTATTAAGCTCAGCAAGGGTTCGTTTCATGGCTTATTCATTCCAACTTTTTCATTTGTAATAAGAAAAGTGTTCAATATATCTCACTTTAAGGCAGCTGATTTGGGGACAAGATTAAAGCCAGTGTTGAAAAATGGTAAGTTTATATAATGGATAGGGTAGAGGCTGATGATTTTTTTTTAGTAAATGACGTTTTTCACAAGTTAAATTATACAAATGTGCATGTATGTGTGTCAGTAGTCACTTGTCTAAATGGTTTTGTAGTGGGGGTCCTGATGTATTTTGCTTGGCACAGCTGAGTACAAAGTGGCCTGCATGTCTTTCTCTCTCTGTGTATCACAGATCATGTGTGTATTTATCTTGGCCAAAGTTTGGCCAAAGTGACTCTGACACTCTAATCAGCTGCATAGTCAGTCGCACCATTCCTCCGGATCATAATGAGATAACACAGACACAAACACACGCACACACACACACACACACACACACACACACACACACACACACACACACACACACACACAAAGAACCCTGAAAACCGCACACTTTCTTGCATGTATAAGATGCACAAGTGTTCAGCGAACGCAGAAGTGCACAAGCACACACCCACATCCCATGCACATACACTCAGATGGGGAAGACAAATGTGCAGTGACGTTAACTTCAGTAACAATAGAGCAAAGAGGTGCTGAGAGAATAAGGATGACTAATGAGTGAACTTAGAGACCTCGTCAGAGAGTGAGATGGAGAGCAGAAAACAGATGTAAACCAAAACAGAAATTCAAGATAAAGAGAAGATGAAAGCGATGAGATCCATGGAAGAAAGAAGGGAAGAGGTTCACTGGGCGATGAAATGAACAAACAACACATTTACAAAATCATATATATCAAACTTAAGAGCGACATTTTTATTGTTCAGTATCTCTATCGATGAATTATTGAGAAAGTGGTGTGCACAAAAGCCATCATCTTCTGTTAACGTGATTTGTGATTGAAGCGCCACATTTCTTCAAATGGTTGCCAGTTTTGTGACAAAAAATGTGGCACAACTTCAAAATGACTGAATAAATAATCACACAGTGCACAGAGTCAAGTGAAAACGACAAAAGGAATCTTCATAAATCACACTGATGTACAGCGCTGCATGAATAGTGTGAGACAAGATTCAGAGTTAATTTTAAACGTCCCCCATCATCTCAAATTTAATTAAGTGTGAGTGTGTGTGATCACTCTGCGCACTGGTGGGCTGTATATGTGCCCTCTGACACCTGTAAGACTCAATTAAAACCTCTTCAGGAACATTCAAAAAGCTACATGTGAATCAAGTAAGAAATTAACTGTCTCTCTTTATTTCCTGACAGCTGCTGGATATGCCAGTGTATATATAATCTTTTGGTGTGTGTCTGACAGAAACAATGTGCCGTGTCCATGTTGCTCAGCACGCCTGAGTATGAGTTGGTGCACGTACAAAATTTAACATGCGTGTGTGTGCGTATTGTCCACTCTGTTTCATTCAGTATTTTTATCCCGCAGACTTCAATGTCATCATCTCCCCTGTGATCTCCACTCAGTCAAAGACTCACCCTCCCAGTAACAATACTCCATTGTTTATAAGAGGAACACAGAGTCACACACACAGAGTTCACCGTAAGGACATTTAAATCAGTTATATGAACTCAAACTGGAGGTCTTACTGTAGGCCCTGTCGCCTTTCATTCCCTGTTTTATCCTGGAAAGTCGACTACGTTAGGACTCACATTGATCACGCCCAGCAGCCTGGTACACTGATGTCGTCGAAGTGGGAGTAGTCAGGCTAAAAACAAAAGGTCTTTTATCCACAGCGGCCCTGTTTTGACCTGGCAAATCACACAATCCAAGGATGTGGCCAGTGTTCGTCAGGTGAACTTGACTAACTGGTGAATGACGAAGAAAAAACCACTCTGTTATTCTAATTGCTTCCTTACTTCTTCACTGCTGGAGTAAGAAAAAAGAATTTGAGTGCAGTTTGATGTTGAATGGTGATCCACAGAATCCTGCTGACAGTACAAATGTGTTTGGGTGGGACCTTTCCACTTGGCACTTTTTTTACTTTAATTGTCTGTTTTGATCAATCATTATGACCATGGGTGGATTATGAGACAATGGACCCTTGAGCACAGACATGTTGAAGGCCCAACACCTCTCCTAAAGAATTTGTGTTGATTTTGCGTCTATTTGTGGTAATTATGCATCTTCTTGTAGTTATTTTGTTTCTCTTTGAGGTCATTTTGTGTCGTCTTGTTATTTTTTTTGTGTTTCGTTGTGGTCATTTTGTGTCGTCTTGTAGTTATTTTGTGTCACTTTGTAGTCATTTTGTGTGTCTTTGTTGTTGTTTTGCCGTTTTGTTTGCAGTCCCTTTGTGTCATTTTTGAGACATTTTGTGTCTCCTAATTTTGTGGCTTTTCTAATTGTTTTTTGTCCCTTTGTGATCATTTTGTGTTTCCTTGTAGATGTTTTGTGTGTTTTTATTGTCATTTTTTGTGCCTGTTGTTGTTTTGTGGCTCTTTGTAGTTCCTTTGAATCACTTTGTGGTCTTTTTGTGTCTCTTTATGGTCATTCTTTCTCTGTCTCTCTGTCTTCTCCGAGTCTTTTTTCTGGTCAGTGTGTGTTACTTTGAGTGACATTTTGAAGATGAAGGCCGGAGGGTCTATGACACTTTGGGCCCCAAGCATGTCCCTGGTTAGTCTCGCGTGACCAGCCTCTCTTATTTCGGAATGGGAGTCTGGGGACATTTGTCTTTCATTTTGTAATAGAAATGGGCGGGGATATCCAGACCACGTGATGGCATTGCCATAGGTACAGCACGTGTGTTACATGTAACACACGCAATAGAGCTGAATCAAATGAAATCATATCCATTTTAATCTCTTCTTGTGATGCACTGAACATTTCCTTTTCTGTTGTACTACGGACAACAATTAGAGGAACAGCAATTCCGGTGTAGGCGGGTGTAAAGCAAAGCTAATCTGCCGTTGGTCGAGGAAGTACGGAAGTACAAGGATTTGGATCCAATCACATCACTGCCACTGGGAGCCAGCGCTAGTTCTATTACAACTTTCCTATGGGAATGTCCACAGACAACAGAGTCAGCCAGCATGCTGACGTCATCGACGTCTGTGTAAGAGACTAGTCCCTGGTAGGCTCGTTTAGTAATGCATTCATGATTTTGACAACTCAGGGTTTTTTTTGTTTGTTTTTTTCCAACAGTCTTTTATTTGTGCCTCTGAAAACATAAATCACATCACCTCCTGTGCAGCAGAATATATTTTACAGGACAAAAAAAAAAAACAGGTGCTCCACAACACAAATAAGAATGCTTTCATGGACATGGTATTGGTTCCGTCAAGTTGGCAAGACAGAGTGGAAACATTTTCACATGTAAATGTCATGGATCATGACTTTATATATTTATTTGGTCAGTTACTGCTCTGTATGTGTTGAGTGAGTTTTATGATCCCGGGGGTCATGAAACCTGTTGTCATATGAACTGTCAGAATTATTTTTCTATTGATAAAGTTGGATTTTATGTGCAGTCTTTATTTGATAACAGTCGTACGTAATTTGTTTTCCTTTGTTACCCTGCTGCCTCTGTAATATACAGTTCAGCTCTCAGGGTCGATCTCAAGTGGGAACCATGTGGGAAATTTTTTTCTGAACTCTGGCAACTACGCTGATCCTGCATTTCCTGGTTTCTCAGACAGCGTCTTAGTTCTCAGACAGACACGGAGTTCAGTGCAAGGACAGATAAATCTGAAACATAGGCTGAGAGTCAAAACAGCTAGTTTTGATACATTCTTTCTTACAGAGCACATGCTGGAATTAATGACTTAAAATCTTTCATGTGTCCCTTTCTTCTGCAGCATGTGTTCACTATGGACCCTACAAATGTGGAGAATGGACGAGGGAAGGTTCCACATGACCCCAGCTTTCCCTTCGCTAGCACCTTCAGTGGTATGTCCCGTGTTGTTTTGCCTATATTTCTAAACAATTTCCCAAGAGAACCAGTTTCCATGGGTATTTTTGGCCTACATTAAAAAACTGTTGCATGTTGTATCCCTCCTCCTTCGGAAATACCCAAAAAATGCCCCAGAACAGAAAGACAAACACTAAGGATATCCGATCCAAAAAGGTGGGTATTCTATCCCTATCCCATTGAAACAACTTTCACAAGCTGACCCGCTGTGACAAAGCTGTCAAATTAACACTGGCCTTTTTGTAGTGTGTTATTCTTTATCTGCCACATCTAACTATTTAAAATGTCAAACACAGATCTCATTCTACACCTTTCCCCTCTCTGCACTGATCTCTGCTATGTTTTGAAATGATGATAACCTTCAGAACAGCAACTAGGGAAACCTTTTTTGGCTCTGACACATTTACACATGCACACACTCTGGAGCTGAGTAGGTTAAATAGTCCTGGGTGTTTCTCTATGAATGTCATTCAGTATTTAGTTTATGGAAATAATGCTGATTTATACCAGTGACAGACAATCCTGGGAGCCACTGAGGCAGGAAGTGTGTATGTGTATGCAGGCCTCTATCCCACCTTCCTCTCTCTGCAGCTGGGTGCTTTAAGCATCAGAATTTATTTCACAAAGCATCGTATTTGGCAGGAAATTGTTCAGTTATAGCCAAACACTCAGTAGTTTGGACCTCAGAGACATTCAGTGGATGCAACGATACAGAGCAGGACACCCAAAGCTGTTGAAGAATGTCATTAGGCCTGCAGAAGTTTACTGTAGAAGACTGACATATAAAAAGAGATTTTGAATTGCACAGTCTGGGAGAGGAAGGTGATTTGTTGTTGAAGGTTTGTTCACCTGCACTGGTTTAAATGTCACAACATGATGAAAGTGGAAAGAGCTGACTTTTGCAGATCTGTCGGCCTCCTCAAGGTCAGCAGGTGTTGTGTGAAGTGACCAGTCAGCTAAAGTTTAAGCTCCTGTTACAGGACTGTCCTTGAGTCTGACTGACTGCAATATTTAGGGTGTCTGTTCCTATCTCTGACCGTGACCACTGACCTCTCATTGTATTTTCCTCTTCAGGGATCACCCACACTCTCATTTTTCTCCTATGTTACTTACACCAGCCTCAAAACTATTCTGTAAAATAAGAAACAAATCAAGAGAAAACTGATAGACATGGATGAAATACTGAATGGGCTACAGGGCACAAGCCCAGAGCCCAAAGTGTCAGGCCCCCCCTGGCCTTCACCTACAAAATGTCACTCAAAAAGACATGTACTGACCAAGAAGAGACTGGAAATGACCTCAAAGAAACACAAAACGACTCTAAAGAGGCGGAAAAATGCAAAACATCTGCAAAGACACAAAGAGATTCATGACGACTACAAAAAGGGGCAAAACAATCACAAAAAGACACACAATGACCACAGATAGACACAGAACGTTGTTGTGTGCCTTGCCCCTATGTATGAGAGGTGGTGGGACCTTCCGCACAGCTGTGCCCAGGGGTCCACTGTCTCACAGTCCGCCCCTGCTGATAGAGTAGACCAAGTGTGGACTGACAATAATACAGACACAGGCATACAAACCGGGCTTGACCAACATATTACAGCATAAGATGAGCAAATGAAGAAAGAGAGAAAAGGTGCCAAGAATGAAACTGTAAAAGATGATGATGAAAGTCCTCTTCATCAGCCACCCTCCAGCATAGTAATCTTTTCTTCTCCTGAATTTCAGTATCTTCTCCCAAAATACACAAAGCTCAGCAGGCTCTGTCATCACCAATTACTGTATCTGCATGTGCGTGTGTCATGTTTGCTTATGTCAACAAGAGTCGACTGTATTTATGTTTGTGCATGTTTGTAAGGTAAAGAGAGATGTGTGTGTTTCTAATACCGTTATTGCAGCCAAATGAGATTAGATAAGAATTAATACACAGCAATGAGATCACTTTCTATAGCCAGATTGATTTTCTACATTGGTCACTATGCTGGGAAAAAATAAAAACAAAACAGACAGGTTTTTTCTGAAAAACTATCTCTAATAATTCTTCATTATCTGACCAGTGTTGTATGATTTCTGTCTCCAAGTTGCTGAGGTTGCTGTCTTGTCTAATGACAGATAACTGTGACTGTTAGAGGGTTTTCCAAGGTTCATTTACTCAACATGGCACAGGACAGATATTATATCTACTTGCAGGAAATTCAGTTTTCTGAGTTGTTGAAATTCAGTCCATGCCTATGGTCTCACTGGAGGATGTACTGTACGAAGTTTGTTTGAGTTTGGGTCTCAGATTACTCTCTCGGTGTGTTCTATATTGGATTTATTTGATCTCCTTTTTCCTTCCCTTCGTCTGAACCGCAAGTTCTCATTCTGTCACCCACGATTTCCTTATTGGTCTTCTGTGCCAAACTTTTTATTTTCTCTTAATCTGTTTTCCTTTATTGCTGCCGTTTCTTTACATCTGCTTCTGTCCCTCTACTCTCCAATCCCTTCCACTTATTTCACTCTTACCTTCTTTTGTCTTTGCTGCTGTTTGTTATATGTATCTCCCTACCTTACTCTTTAAACTAATTCTCCATCTCCCTCCACCTCTGTCCCTGCCTCTCTATAGGTGGGGAGCTGTACACAGGACTGACTGCAGACTTCCTGGGTAGAGACTCTGTGATCTTCAGGAGTATGGGAGGTCGCTCCATCATGAGGACAGAAACTGACCAGAAACTTCTCCATGGTAATGTTTCGCTGTTTTATCAACCTGAAACATTTAATACAGAAATGAGAAAATATAAATCAAACATTATTTTCCATATTAGGAGGACACCTTGGAGTGTATTATTATAATACTCATTTAGGTCCATTTTGCCAGTGAGAGGTAATCAGCAATATAGCCTGAAGCAAAAGCACATATACTACGGTTACATGTTGTGTTATATACTCATACAAAATGTTAATGAACACTTGCCAGCCAATCAGATATTGATGTTTCCCCTAGGCCATAGTGTGATATTAGTTAATTTAATTATCCAATTACATTTTGTGTGTGTGTGTTTTGTGTGAGTGGACTTAACTTTGTGGGACACTGGTATTATCAGGAAAAACAAACTACAGTATCTACTGTTATGTTATGCATTTTATTTTGCTGAAAATCTTCAGATATGACTTTCAACACAAATCAGAGCTAAGACTCAAAGATCTTTGGTCAAAGGAGCAAAATAATGATGGCAAGTTACTTGTTTATACTGTAAGGCAGTTTACAATAGTACAGTTTGTGCCCCCTCTCTTCCCTTACAAATGTTTCCTTGTTGCTAGATGTAACATTTAGATTGGTTAGTTGACATTGCAAGATAATGTATGAGAACAGCAAGTTTTGGATGGAGTCAGTTTGTAAAGGTTGAACGGTGCATGCAGCTCATTGCATGGACAGCGCTAGCTTGCTCTTCTGTACCTCAACTAGAGACTGCAACCGCGCAGAGTTGCCTTCACCGATGTAAATGGCTCTATGTTCAGCACTCATCTGCCAAAGTTAAGTGCAGAAACAGAAGATTCCTTGTTGTGTGAAGTGATTTGCCAGATGGATTAGCCTAGCTTACATCTGAACCAAAAGCCAGACAATACTTAAGTGCACATCAAGCAGTGCCATCCAGGGTAGTGACATTGTTTTATGTTTAGAAAGCATCAGGTTCTGTTTTGGTTTTGTTTCAACATTTGTAGTGATACATATTAAGCTTGAGGTCTGCCCCTCCCTCAGGAAATAATGACCGTCAAAAACTTCATTTCATGTGTTCTACTGAATTCTTCTGCATCAATGTATCGCAGAAATGTCATGTACTTCCTGCTTCAGCTGTGCATAGTTGATTCATCTTCTTTCTGTTTAATGGCAGGTTGCAACTGCTGCTTTTAAGGGTTTCATACTCACACAGCCTACTTTATCAGAGGCATTGTTGTGTCTATGAGTCGCTTTTCAGCAGTTTGTCCAAACAAAAGCCCTCTGATACTTTCATATATTTATTGGAGTAGACAAATGTCCACTGTCCTCTGTGCCCCCCAATAAATCTATACCTGTGGTTGTAAATATTGTACATTTAAGCAGCAAGATGGGCTCTGCTGCTATGAGAAAGACTACTTATCATTGTGATGTTCTGCTTTGTTTTCTTTAAAACCATAGTCATAGTAACGTCCATGTCTCTCCATCATTAAATCTTCCTCTGCAGACCCTAAGTTCATCGCTGCCCACCTAATCCCTGACAACGATGACAGAGACAACGATAAAGTGTATTTCTTCTTCACTGAGAAGGCCACTGAGGCAGGGGACAGGGAGGGAGCCATACACACACGTATTGGACGAGTGTGTGCGGTGAGATACTTTATTAACTCTTCATGAGTACACATTTACTTTGAGACGCAGTACATGATGTTTCTGTTAAAGCTGCAACACGCAACTGATATCTAGTCACACAGAGACTTTTATGCGCCAAGGATTTTGAGAGGCCAAGGTCATCTCTCACTGAGTCTCATGCTGTCACTCTATTCCCATGGAGGTGAATTTTGTCAGAGGTTCTCAAGGCATTAAAAAATTTCATCTGAAGAACTCCAGATGCACACAGAAGGATTGAGAGATTATCTGTTGGCAGGTGGGGAAGAGTGAAGCCAGATGGTCAGGTGAGCTACAGTGAGACATCTGCAGTCGTCTTTCACTTGAGGAAGAGGCTGTGATCTGGGAGAGTCTGAGAATCCTATTGGGCGTTCTTGTTTTTTGGAGGATCTGTCATGGCCTAAATTTTGAGTCAATACCAGGCCTCTCACTCTGATTCACACTCCCATTGAAGTCCACTGTAAAAGGGGTTATATGAGAACACAAGTACAGAGAAAGGCTAAGCTGGAGAGAGACAGTAATTTGATTTATGGTCACATACAAATGTCTGCAGGATTAACTTCCCAGGACAGGAGATAATAGTTTTATGGGTCTATCCTGCTATTGTGACAGTTCCAAACCCTCTTGTGGAAAAGACAAATGTCTTTTGGAGCAGTCAAATATTTACATTTCCTCTAAGGACTGTGAAGGCATCATGTTATTCGGAATAATACAAATTCTTTCTCCTTCCAAAACCCACACAGCTGTCAAATTGGCCAACTGTGATCTCCATCTGCTCTGCAATCTCACTCACATTCTATCACGCATTGATTTGTCTTAGAAAACCATATGTGTTATGAGCGCGTCATAGGTATGCATAGAAGAATACACGCAAATTATACACATCTACTCACTTGTTCGACTGTGCCAGAAAAGTTTGCACAAACTTCTCAGACAGAATCCCACCTAAACCTTCGAATTATAACTTTCTCTGTCATCCTCATCTTCCTCTCCCTCACTCCTCTTTCTCTCCATCTGTCTCTCTTTGTCTCCCTACACACACATGTTATAGTATTTCTTCTCCAGCCCTCCTCTCCCTTAGGCGATTCTGAATAGTTGTCATCACTTCCCCCGTGGTGCTTTTTGCCAAGAAGCCAATTATCACCGCTGGTCCTCATCTCTCTCTGTCACACACACAAAGACACATTCTCACACACACGCATGCATAGACACACACACATGCACCATGCACACTGTCCTGCATATATGCATAAAAAATTATTCAGTTTTGATAAAATGGGATGATGAAGGACACACACACACACACACACACATACACACACACACACACACACACACACACACACATGCATCCAGTAACTATTGTGAGTCCCTACATATTTGTTCTCTGCAAAGGACACCACATTGTCCTTTTTTCCAACTGAATTTAGGAGTGATGTTCCCTTACTGCTTGTTTCAGCAGGCTTTTTGCCTTCGGTCTGGTCTTCAACAGCGGAATATATGATTGGCAGGATGGAGTTCATTCATGTGACAGACATGAAACCTCTGGAATGTCCTTGTTTTTTTTAATTTAAGTTCATAATCCTGCTCCATTGTCCTAAAATTGGGGATCTTACACTGTCTCACCCACTGCAAACACCCCTTAAAGCTGCTTTAACCCAAGTGTTTCAGTCCCATTCCAGTGTGCTGGAGGACAATGAAATGACTATTTGGAAATGAATATGTAGCTGTGTTTTATAGATTGTGCGTCCTGTTTTCCACCAGAATGATGTTGGAGGCCAGAGAGTGCTGGTGAACAAGTGGAGCACCTTCATCAAAGCCAGACTGGTCTGCTCTGTACCAGGGCCTCACGGTATCGACACACACTTTAACCAACTGGGTGAGATACACACAAACCTTTTTTAACAAGGTTACGTATTTGAACCTGAACACATAAAGCAGCATTTCACCTACAAATGCATATGGACACTGTGCAGAAAACACCTTTTCTCTTCAACATATAAAAGGCACAAGAGCATTTACGCACACAGACATACTCAATTGCATTGTCTTCTTATACAAAACAGAGGATGTTTTCCTGCTGAGGACCAAGGATGAGAGGAACCCAGATGTCTATGCAATCTTCAGCACCATTAGGTGAATTACCATGAAGCATCACACATCAACTACTCTGTCTTACTTTATCAGAATTTAATCTAGCTTAGATTTTCTCAAATAAAAAGAGAGGAATTTTATTGTGAAGTTGTGTTTTTCCTTCATTTAAAGGCAGTGTATGACATAAAGTTTCCTCCCACTGGGAAGTCAAAATGAGTGTCTTGACTAATAGAGTTGCTAAAGCCTACGTAATTGAATTTATGTGATTTGGGATGTTGCAATATCCCATGGTGGTCAAATGACAGCATTAGAGGCTTCTCCACTGCCACATACTTAGCAACCTAACAACATCCAGTGGTGTGGTGCTGCAGTGATGTAGCTGTGTATTCTAAGATGTGTCAGTACACAATGACATCACTGTTAACTGTGGCTATGGGTGCACCAGATCACACCCATTAGTAATGCTGGCTGTTCAGCCTGGTTTGTTAACACAAGTGATGATAGCTGATTTTGTGACTTCAGTTACTTGAAACTAATAATGTTTTTATTGCTGTTAGACTTTAAAACCTTTATGGATCCAAGTAATTAAATACAGTCACTGGTGACTTCATTATTGCCCTCATTTTCAACCACTCAACAAGTTTGTCTTTCTTGCAAATGTAACTGAATCTGTTTATGAAGATTTTCAACTGTATATCGCTGGTCTCTCCTCCACAGTAATGTGTTCCAGGGTTTTGCCGTGTGTGTTTACCGTATGGCTGACATCAGAGAAGCCTTTAACGGACCCTTCGCTCATAAAGAGGGTCAGGACTACCAGTGGGGGGCCTATGAGGGCAGGGTCCCTTATCCAAGACCAGGCGTGGTGAGTGATTGTTACACAGTACATTACCTCTAACCCTAAATTTACTTAAAGTTTTAGTTGCCCAATCTTAACTGTACCTTAACCACGCTGCACTTACCATAACCACACTATTTCCCATAATACTTGCCACTGCTTGGCAACACTATAAGGAAACATAAGATGTCTGACCGATCATATGCTGATGACACACAGGTTTACATTTCTCTATCCTCTTCTCATCTCAGTCCTATTAACAAACTTGTAAACTGTAATTTTCATCCGCCCAGCTGGCCATCTACATTGGTTGAATTTAGGTAGTGACTTCAGGTGACCAAAAGTCAATTTAACATAGAATACTGTCAACAGTTGATGTTGATATTTTGTTGGTTTTAAGTTGAGTTACAAAAATCCACCATCTTCCAAACCTCTCATGTTACCGTCATCTTGAGGTAGAATAATGACATTTAATCGTAAGGTATGGCGGACAAACCCCAGCATCTGCAAAACATCATAATGTTATCGTCCATACAACATAGACCAGTGCCTTTTTGACGTCCTGTGCTAATTGAGTTTGCTTGGAAAAAGTTAGAGGATTTTTACTTCAAACATGCTGAAAAACTGGTAAATGCATTTGTTTCAAACATAGCAATTTTTTTGTTCTCGGATAACCAACAGGAAGGCTCAAGCTCATTTTAAAACATAGCGGGAGCAGCAGCAGCAGTCGTGCATGCTAAAGCCTCCGCTATGATCATACGGTTGAATCAACACCTCTCTGAAAACAGTTTTAACAATATCTGAACCCTTATTAAGGTAGGTTTTATTGCAGGGGTGCCATATTAGAATGCAATAGTTGTAGCTAGGTGTACCTACACTATCATGCCAGTACTTAAAATCACTTCAGAATCAGTTTAAAATTGGTGGAGCTTTTTGTCATTGTGGTGACCTCACTGGGAAAAAAATCTGCATTATTTCTTGTAACGTGAGAAGAAATCCAGTGGCTTGAACTCATTCATTTTTCTACAGTGATAATGTGGATGTGCTGTGTTTTTCCCAAAACATATTTAGCTAGTGACACAACTGTGTACAAATGCAATCCTTATGAGAGGTTGCTCAGGCTTACTGTCTAAGCTACAATAGAGCAGGAAAAAAAGAATTGCAAGGTGATAAAAACATTAAAAATGAGGCGAAGAAAGTTTCCATATCAGTAAAGTAAACTACTGTATGCGGTAGTGCAGCTGTGGTGACTGTACACAGTGCAGAGCCTTCTCCTGGTTTACATCCTGACTCTCAGCAGAGCTCTGTCATGTTCTCTCAACCACATCACTGTAATTCAGACTTGTTACACACATAAACACACGTGTGTTAGGCAACACACATACACACGCTCACGTCGCCCGTGTAATTCCACCTCATTACCAGAGTGCAGGCGAGCGTATGGAGGCAGAAGGAATATGAATAATGTGAGAACAGAGCAGACACCTCTGTGGTTTCACTCCGCTGACTCTCTGATTAACAGGAATGTCTTGGCCCAAAACTGAGAGTATAGAAGAAAGAGAGAAAGAAAGAGAGGAAAGGAGGAAATGGAGGAAGAGAGGAAACAGGGAGAAAGATGACGACGCAAGGCAGGCTGATGAAGAAGCACAGATGAGAAGGAGAGAAGAGTGAGAAGATGGAGGCATATCAGTTGATTCTTGCTTCTTTTTGATTGAAATATTCATCAAAACTCATTTGATGAAAAATGTCTTGCTGTCCTACATAGATGTTTAGCTGGAGTTAAAATATTCACTCTATTCATCTGTAAAACTGTTACAATGACCTAGATTTTTCTGTCTCACTCGCACCAGACAGAACATTTACGTCCTTTTCATTTTCCTGGATTTAAACATCATACTATGTAATATCCATCATCTCTCCTTACTCACCTGTCAAAACTCACCCAGGAATGGAAAATAAAAGTTCAGTTAATATGAGAGAGATTTGGTGAATTCATGCTCCCATGATATTTATTTTGGATTGAACTTTCATTGCACATTGTTTAAATTTGTGACAGAACTCATTCTGTAATAGAGGAAATGATGGGATAGTCTGGATTGCGGATTTACCAGAGTTTTAATGGTAATCCTACCTGGACTGAGATATGTAATATATTTCTCTGCCTGCCTCTTTCATCCACATGGACATCTAATCATAAAGGCCCCTTGATTGACGGTTTAATAACAGGCTTTTGGGTTGCTACCAGAATGACATTATTTTTTGGTGATCCATACAGTTTTTAATTTACCTGGGTGTTTGTCTTGGATTGGTTTCTGACATGAAAACCACTTTTGTAGCCTGTTTTATATCAATAGTATTATAATATGCTGTCGCATTTAAAATTAGAGCATCATCTGCATATTTTCTGCACCCTGTCTGCCCTGACAGTTAAGATTGGTTTTAAAGTGTCATACTTTACAAGATTATTTTTTAGGGCTTTTCGCCTTTATACAGGAGCTAGCGAGTGACAGGAAAGGGGAATAAGAACAGGGATGACAAAGGGCCACAGACTGGAACTGAATCCGAGATGCTCCCAGCCTGGGATCAGCAGTTTGTTGTGCATCAAAATTGGTGATCAGCAGATGTATCAGAATGATAAGTGCAGTAAGCATCTTGTATTTGTTAATGTTGTTTGTCAGCTTGTTACTGGCAGTGGCTGACACAGCGTTAGTGGTTGTGAAACGTACATTATATCTGCTACACTGTCACAGTGTGTTCACATTGGTCAAGTTTAAATCTAAAAAACAAACAAAAAAATCTGCTCTGTGCTGGAGGTTTCAGTTTCCTTTGCTGGTGCTCTGTCGAAGTCCGTTCCCCCGTCGATATGTCTTTACTGCATTAGACAGCAATTGACTTTTGAATTTATGACATACCTAATCTAGCTTGCCTAGATAGGTCGGAGCTCAGATTTTAAGGTTGTACACAGATATCACCTCCTTTAGTAGAGGAATGTGAAAACACCTTTCTAGAGGCAAACTTTGCACTGATTACAGACAAGTTCAAACATTTTAGGGGACAACAGAAGAAAGACATGTTTAAATGGAGGGGGACTTTAGCAATCCTTTCTCCTTTACCTGATTCAGTCAGAACACATTTCAGACCAATTCAGGGATTGTCAACTACCTACTTTGAATTGAGATAGAATATGGGATATCAGGATGTTTCTTAATTAAAAACAGGCTCTTGCTAACTTATTTATGTGAGCTAAGGTTGATACAGAATTGAGGAAAGTAATTTTCCAGGATTTGTACCTCAACTAATCTCACTCCCCTCTGCTGGGTCCTTTTTGTTATAATTGAGCAATTTCCCAAATACAATACAAAAGGGCTGACACAATGCACACTGTGCTTAACACACGTACACGCAAACACACATTATTACCATGTACAGCCAGTACATGGTAATAATGGGTGTGAATAGAAGTCTGCCAAATATGCTCACCTCTTCTCTCTCTCATTAATCCTCACTTGGCTCTCAGTTTGAGATTGAAAGCAGTTGACTTGCTGCAGCAAAGTTCAGATGAGTTTGACAAAAGGTTTTGGAGCTGTTCCAGTTTAGGTTTTACGTGCTGTGCAAACAGAGGAGTGGTTTAGTTAGCAGCTGACATATCAAGGATCTGTATTATGAGCTGCACAACTATGAGCTGTGTGGAAATCTTATATAAATTCATGTTGAAAACATAGTCCCTTCAGTTCCAAAAAGAAATTAAAAGAATATAACGTTGATTTGTTTTGTGTGTCAAAATAACAGTTACATTGATTTTAGCACAGTTTACCCACAGATTAAGTAAAGTGTGCTTGGAACCCATTTTGAATTATGCACAAACCCTTCTTCTCATAACTCATGCATTTTTCCAGAAGCATTTGTAGTTAGTAAGTTGCAGAATTGAGTTTCGATTTTCTTACGCATTCCTTACCTGCTGCCATATACAGTGATTGACGCCATTTAGTAAATCATACTCACAGGAATTATACATCAATGGTTTGTGCAGATTTAAGTCCCTGCACAGTTCAGATCCGCCCTCTGAAAACTGAATCCAGACCATTACAGGGATATTGTGTGGATCACTTACTGTTGTGATAAGCAGGAGTTACAATATATCTACCATATGGAAGTATAGTCTGGAATAGCAACATCAGGTAATGAGATTTATACAAATACCAAGTGGTCCGATGACTAACTGCTCTCTAAAGAATCCCGACTGTGCAAGAAACTTGAGCTCACTTAAATTTCGCCTCAGCTTCAATTTACATTTGTCAGATTATGACTTTGACATATGCTTTCATTTTAATCAGTCACTGCTGCAGTGATATTTCTCTTTACTGATGGGGCTTCTCTTATCTGCATCTCTGTCATCCCAGCCTTCATCAAATGATCACTTGTCAGTTTGTTTGCTTCTCAGGCTCTCAGGTAACTTCAAAGGATTTCAAAGTTTGAGGGAAATTATCATTCACCACAGAGCAGCTAATCTTGCAGCTCCTTAGTTTATTTCAAAGTCACACTCTTAACTTTATTTTTCTTTATTTGTGTTCTTTGGCCAAATAAGGCCAGATTGGAATCTTGTGAATCCAAACAGAAGCTCTGTGAAGACAAAGTCCGCCTCTGTCTCTCAGTTGCTACGGTCACCAATCTTAAATGCGCAAAACTGCAAAACGTTGGCTTCTTTGCAAAGGCCACATGGTTCGCATACATGCTTTCACTTGGACCGTGTTCAACCCTCCTAATTATCTGAGTAATACATATCTCAGCCAAGTGCCAGCACATTATTTTTCTCATTACTACAATGACACAAATGGAAGGAGTTTAAACTAACAACAAACTCTGCTTCTGTAAAGCTGCTTCCAAACACATAACTTTACAACTGTGGTTTTGAACTTTCATCCAACATTTTCAGGCACAATAAAACTGCTAATGAGGGTTCTTTGAGAAGACTTTAAAACCATAATTAGGCTACAATTCTTCTGGAAATCACACCTCCAGTGGTGGTAAATGGTGGGAATGTAGAGTCATGCTGGAAAAATGCCAGAATTTTGCTTTCTCTTTCTGCCTATGTTTGTCTACCCCTGCCTCTAGCCATTCTTCCAGTGTAGCATCAGCAGTTAACCAGGCAAGGATTTTACTGAAATTGTTCTTTTTAGATAATCCATCTCCCCTTTCCTTTGTTTCTCCACATCTTTCTCCACATCCACCTCTCCAGTGCCCAAGTAAAATTACCAACCAGCCGGGCAGAGAGTTTGGCAGCACAAAAGACTTCCCTGATTCAGTGCTGCAGTTTGCACGCAGCCACCCGTTGATGTGGCGTCCAGTGTATCCTGCCCTTCGCCAACCTGTGCTTGTAAAGGCCAACATTCCTTACAAGCTGAAACAAATTGTGGTGGACCGGGTCGAGGCAGAGGATGGGCAGTATGATGTCATGTTCATCGGCACAGGTAATACTAGTATGAATGTTATTGATTGAGCCCTGTGGGGAAATTGGATTATTGTGGCAGAGAGGAATTTGCAATAACATGCAGACATTCTGTTCCTGTTCTTTGACCTTGTCACTTACAGTAGGTGTTTGTGTCTTTCAGACGTTGGCACAGTATTGAAGGTCATTGCCCTACACACTGGAAACAGCCTGGAGACAGAGGAGGTCACACTGGAGGAGCTACAAGTCTTCAAAGTAAGATTTACTCCCTCAGGCGTCTTTTTCTTCCCCAGTCATTGTTTTTTAGGCCATATTGAAGAAGCGGCCGTTCATCATTATAGATAACATTTCTGTCCCCTCATCCCTCTTTGAAGTTGACAGATAAGGGACCACATATATGTCTTCAAAGAAAACCTGTTTAAACCTTATCACATTTTTTCCCTTCTCTATCTAAAAGAATAATTCTGCTCTGCAACTTGTCACTTTTCTACTTGTAAGCCTTTTCACACATTGTGAAATAGATCAGGTCAATTCTTTTTATTATTGCAGGTGCCAACTCCAGTTACATCAATGGACATATCCGTGAAAAGGGTACGTTAATGTGGCTGTAATTACAAACCTCATTCTCACAAACTTTAATTCTCACTTCTATTAAACAACTGTTTTACCAACATTTTACCTCACACTCTTCTCTCTTCTCTCATGATTTCAAACAGCAAGCCCTGTATGTGGGATCGCCAGCAGGTGTTGCGCAGGTGAAGCTGCATCGCTGTGAGACATATGGGAAAGCCTGTGCTGAGTGCTGCTTGGCCAGAGACCCTTACTGTGCCTGGGATGGATCCCTCTGTGCGCGGTACATGCCAAACAGCAAACGGCGTTACCGCAGACAGGACATCAGGCATGGCAACCCTGTGCTGCAGTGTGTGGATCAGAACTTGAATGGTAAGAGCAACGACCTACTTAAAACCTTCATTTGAGTCCTCTTTGTCCATTACGCAGGACGATTTCCTGGTTGGGTGACTTCCTGGACAGCACCCGGCCAAGTGATAATTCCTCATAAAACCACAACTTTTTTTTTTTTTTAAACATTAGTTTTTGTGCGTTTTAAAACAGACAAGATATAACAATATAATTAGTGAGCTTAAGAGTTGCTGATTGGCAATCTTGTTACCAGTAGACAGAGCCAGGCTAGCCATTTCCCCCTTCTTCCAGTCTTTATGCTAAGCTCAGCTAAGCATCTGCTAACTGTAGCTTTATATTAACCAAATATACTGTATGACAGTGGTAGCAATCTTCTCATCTAAGAAAGTGAATGAGCATATTTCCCAAAATACTGAACCATACCTTTAACATTATAGAACAATGTAAAGATACAAGTGGTCAAACTGTTTCTGAGGGTGGTTGTTGTATTGCTGGGTTAGGATGCTCCATCTGCTTTACCATTTAGAAATGGGAAATAAAATTGAGAAATGAAAAGGGAAGCTTATTATCACCATAAATAGGAGATTCAAGTAAACAAATATTTGCCATAGTACATGACACTCCTCCTAGACTACTATATCACAAGTGTTGCACATTTTTTCATAGGTTTTAACAATTGCTTATTGTTCTGGTTTTTGCTCATGTTCTAAATATTATTTTATCTGTCAGCAAAGTTTTACAAAATCTTCCCAGGACACTGTGGGTGAGCATTACTTCTTGTATGGTCTAGACCAAGGCAGTCCTCTCCTCAAACTCTAAACTATTTAGCTGTGGATAGGAATAAGTGCCGGTGAGACCCCACTCTTGTGTATATTGTCTGTGCGTCTGTAAACACCTGAGGTCCAGGGAAGGATGCTGCTGGACATGTGCCAACCTGTGTTTGAATGAAGATTGTTTGTACAGTATGTGTTAGTGTCTGTAAGGGTCAGTGTAAGTCTCCATGCCTCTTTCTCAGGATGAAAGATAAAGAGTGTTTATGTGAGAAGTTAGATTTGTACGAGTCTAGCAGTTTATCCAAGCTGTGTGGGACAGATCTTGTACAGTATATTAGACAGAAAATACATGTTAACTCCTCAGCAACACGTCTGTTTACACACCACACACTCAGTGCATGCAGAACACAACCTTACTCATTTCACACCAGATTGTACATGTTGTTGGGCTTTGTAAGACATTTCGATTTTTGCCATCATTGATCTTTAAGAACCTCATTAAGAGGATGAGAAGACCAAACGAAAGATATGGTCTCTGTGTGTGTGTGTGTGTGTGTGTGTGTGTGTGTGTGTGTGTGTGTGTGGTCCTCACAAGTGACCAAAAAAAACAGTGGATCCCACAACTGTTAAAAACAAGTATGTGTGACAGAGAGCGAGAGCTGAAAGATTGACAAGCTCAAACTTAGGTTATCTAAAGCCATCAGTGATCATATGAAAAAGATAAAGTAAAGATAAAGTAGATGAAAGTAAAAATAAAGTAGATGTGGGTGTGAGGGCAAGAAACAGTGTGAAGACAGAATAAAAGGAGAAAAAGGAGGCTGTAGAGAGGGAGAAGAAAGGATGTGCTGTGGGTGTGTGTTTGCTCACCTGAGTGTAGGTATGGTGCTGAGTTGATAAATATACCTCCCTTAAGGCCTTTGGATGAACCCCTGTTCTACAAGGTCTCTTTGTGCCAAGGTGTCAAGTTGTTGTTAAGTAGAACTCCCAGAGGCATGTGTTTTCATTGCTAAGACTGAAATATCATCTTAACTTCGGACGTTTGCTATTTGTCAGTGATTTCTCAATGTGTGCTTACATGACATGAACTTTTACGAGGTACATGCAAAGATACTGCTTATTGTACTAACTGTGTCTTCAAATCACCATGATATGAGGCTGACATCATTTGTATTTTCTGAGGTTTGCAGCTCAAATTTCATTTTTTCTTGTGTACAGTAGGTAATGATCGGGCTTGTCTGACATAGCTTGAAAAATAAGCTTATTTGAGTTCTTGCCAGGAGTTAGATGAAAAGACTGATACCATGTCATGTCATGTCTGTACACTTAATATGAAGGTAAAGCCAGCAGCCATTTAGCGTAGCATAGCAGAAATAGGATAGTAATAGGATAGCCTGGCACTGTTTAATGGTAGAAATATCTGCCTTCTAGCACCTTTTAAGACTGGGTAATTAGCCCATTATTTGTTTCTTGTTTAATCCATATAAAACCCAAAGTGTTAAGACAAGTTACAGTTGTATGTGTGTAT